CAACTCTATATCATATTGACTCAACCTGAAATTCCTTTCTGTGGCAAAGTCAAGAATTGTGCCTTGACTTTAGTTGAGGTCTCTGGAAAGACTCAACCCGCTGCAGGTGGCATTGTATAACGTGTCTCTGGCCCTTACCTCAGTCACTGTTACCTTGAACCTGTAAGGTTGAGCCTTGAAAATATTGGGTCAGGAAAGAAGACCACACACATGACCACATAATTCATTCACAAGAAATGCTTATAAACTGGGAAAACATGCAGAAAAGAGATTAGTTTTTTCCAGGAAAGGAGGGTGGGTGTGGGAAATAGATATTGATAATCGGCAGTTCATTTCTTTTTCTCAGTCACCATAAGGATCTAGAATTAGTGGTTATTGTCATGTAGCTTTGTAATTATACTCAAAGCCACTGAAAGTGTGCTTTAAAGAACAAATCACTACCTTGAGACCAAAAGTTTCTAATATAAATGCATATGTCCTGGGACATAGTTCCTAAGCTAACATCAGCATGGCCAGGTAGACAAACATTCCCAGGATTTAAGAAACACTCTAGGGGATCACAGGCTGTCTTTTGGCCTCTGTGGGCATGAGGCAGGCAATTGGTGCACAGACATACATGTAGGTAAAACACCCACACACACAAAAATGCATTATTTTGATTAAAATAATTAAAGAAAGTGAGACACCTAAGATGCCAAAGTTGAAGAAGTCTCCTCCCTTTGAGGCCTGTGGATAGAAGTTGTCCAGGGATGGAGAACATAATTTCCTGTATAAATTTACCTCAGTGTCTATTTATGTCACTTTCAAGAAAAAGTCCTCCAGTGGAATAGTGTACACCCCAGCAGTTGGAAAAGTCTCATCTGAAAGTTAGCATCAGGATTCCCCACGTGGGTCTATGCTAGTGGAGACTTAACAGGATAGCCGACTCCCTCACAGCTGAATCCCTGGCATGGATGGAGACTTGGTATAAGCTACAGCCACCAGGTGCTCTTGGCATCCTGACGAACCTTCTCCCTTGATGCCCTGTTAGCCAGAGACCAAAGGCTCCCACTAGTTTTGCTTTCTCCAGGACCCAGGTGTTCCCCAACGCCCACACAATCCCTATGCTGCAAAGGACAGAGCTGGATGAGGACAGACTTGTACCTCCACCCCTTGCTTGGGGCTTTGAATATGCCAGCACCCTGCAGTAAATAAAGGGCCTGCCTGAAGAGGGTAAGAAGTTAAGCTGCACTCCAGGGGCATTACGCTGTGAATGCTTCCATGAGGGACCACAAAGGTGGAAGGTTAATGTGCATCGCTCAATCCAGGGCTATGGGACTGGCAGAGGCCAGCTTTAGAAGGTCCACCCAGAGTCCAGGAGAAGGAACTCCAGGACCTGAGTGTTAGTAAAAGTGACAGGGGGCAGGTGGTGTCTGGTGGGCGTTCACAGAGATGATTCTCTAGAAACCAGTGTGGCCAGTGGTAGTGAGGCTGGTCTTAGGGCTGGAGTCCTGCAGCTGTATTGACCCATCTCAGTCAGGCATAGGTGCTCCAGGGTCTCGGGGCCTTCTCCACTGTCCTCTGTCCTGCTCCCCCTCATATCCTACAGCATAGTCCATTTGATTATCTCTGCCATCTTCTCAGGATCTGCAAAACAATGTCTCTTACTTCTGGGCCCTTTTAGATCAGCAGGCTCTACTCCAATCTGAGAATCTTCATTCCCATTTTAAAATTAAGTGATCCTGTATTGACTGAACATACCACCAAACCCACCTTTAGCCTGAGCATGCTGCCAGGTGCTTCCAATTAGAGTGCCACATAAATCCCCCTTGCCTTCAGAGATCTCTGGGTATGGTGGAGACAACAATCAGTAAGAGAAAAGGAGTGCACTTAGAAATGATGAGCAGACCTGGGTTGAGGCAAGAGCATTGGAGTAACATAGCAGAGGCTCCGAGGTTGTCCTGTCCATAACAGTTGAGTAGTTTCAACTCACTGACAGGAATGTGGTAGATGACCTTCTAGGCAGTATAAAACCACTTCAAGGATTCAGAAGCAACTTTAAGGGGACATGAGGATGGGCAATAATGTAGGGGTGGGAGCTGGGTCAGATGAGAAGACCAACCACAAGGTCAGTCATTTAAATAAAGACACTCCAACTTTCCTGAAGAGCCTTGGAATACGTAAAGGGAAGAGTCATAGGATCTAGGCACACTTTCAGGATGCTATATTCTTCTTTCTGGGGAGAGGGAAGAAGTACACGTTGTAATGTTTTGAGGGTCCCTAGGCTATTTGATCTGCATTTAAGCACACTAGGAAGCACTTTGAAACACACTTACAGTGTTCAAAGGTCGTATGACAGTCAGAGCATAGCCATGGAATGGGCAGGGTATCAGATTTGGGTTAAGATGTTAGGAGCAGTCACTTAGTCTAGACCAAGCTGTCCATTCATCTGGGAGTGAGGTATGCTCCACAGAGAAACAGCCTGGTGCCATTGCCTGATCAAGGCCTCCTGAGCAGCCACTGCAGGGGGATGCTCCCTGCTGCACAGCAGGGCTGGTGACACCAGCCTGTCTTCGGGTCTCATTCAGCATCTCCATGTCTGTCCTGTAGCAGCTGCAAATGCAGAGACTCTGTCTAATGCACACCTGGACATCTCAGAGGAGTCTTCACAGGCAGACACAGAATGCAGCTTTGCTGAAGCCAGGCTAGAGGACCTGGAGGCTCATGTCTGTTTTCTCCTTCCCTTCCTCTTTTCCTCCTCCTACTAATCATCAACCACACCACCATCAGAAAAAAGAGCAGCTGGGGAGGAAAGAAGAAGACAGCACACCACCCCCAGCAGCGGCCTCCGGGCACAAGCCCTAAGAACCGAACCCCAACCAAGCCAAAGAAAAAAAAACCAAGTTGGGCCGGTGCCAAGAACAAAACTAAAAAAAAAACCTAAAAATGGAAAGAACGGGAACAAAAAAGAAATTTAAAAACCAAATTTAAGGAACTTAGAACCTTGAAAGAAAAACAAAAAGAAAAGCCCAAAATCCCCCGAAGAAAGCCAAAGAAACCTCAGCGCCGAGGTGAAGAACAATTCCCCCTTGCCTCCAAAACCCGCAACAAGAAAAACCCGGCCGAAACAAAAGGCAAACTTGCCAACCAACCTTTAAAAAAGCCCCGGGAAAAAAAACACTCAACAAAAGTATGTTATTCTCCCATGAGCATCTCCTCTGCTCTAGCTATGGTCCTCTTGGGGGCAAAGGGAGACACTGCAGTCCAGATGTCTCAGGTAAGCTGTCTGTCACCCCTCACCTGCTTCACTTGCCTAAGGGCTGCTGAGAAGAGAGGGTAGGAATGTGCTCACACTGTGTCATGGGGCAGGGGCTCAAGAGGAGCTAAGACAGAGTCTCCTCCAATAAGACTTACTTATTTATTTATTTATTTATTTATTTATTTATTTATAATTTATATACATTAGTGTTTTGCTTGCATGTATGTCTGTATGAGGGTGTCAGATACCATGGAACAAGAGGTAAAGACAATTATGAGCTGCCCTGTGGAATGAACCTCTGTCTTCTGGAAGAGCAACCAGCGTTTTCAACTGCTGAGCTATCTCTCCTGCCACCCCAGTAAGACTCCTTTAACGGTAATACATTTTCTTGAGTTACAACTCCGAGGAAACTCTCAAAATTTTGTCCAGACTTCACTTACATAATGGAGCAAACCAAATTTCATGCCAGTCCTGGTGGCACAGGCCTTAAATTCCAGCTACTACAGAGACTGAAACAGGAGGATGCCAAGCCCTAGGCTAGCCTGGACAACTTAGTTTCAAATGCAAAAAAAAAGTAATGGAGCGAGTGGGCTATGATTATAACTCAGTGATAGAGCTCTTGGCTCTTATGCTTGAGACCCTAGGTTCAATCCAAATAGTGCAATGCACTAGCAGAGAGAGGGAGAGTAAGACTAAAAATCCTTCTTAAAGACTCAGCATTTATTTGTGAATTAATTGTTGGAGTCTTTACCTCTTATGCACTCTTGATATCATAAACTAGCAAGGATTCTCTGGACCATTGAAAGGATACTCCTTATTAAAGAAAAAGGGAGTCTGTCCTTTTCCTGCATTGTCTCTTCCAGGGATGGACAGTACTCCAAAGTATAGAGTAGTAATATGTCCTCCACAAAGAACTAGACATGACATGGAGTGATCAGTGAGACACTGCATTTAACATTGGTGTGTTAGTCAGAGTACTCTAGAAGAACAGAATGAATATGTATTACTAAGGGGATTTTATAGACTGGCACACATAATACAGGCTGAGTAGCCAGACAGTGGCCATCTGCATGTGGAGAAACTGAGACTGGGGTAGCTGCTCAGTATGTGGTTGGAGACCTTACCAATCTCAATCTGAAGGCCAAGAGGATTCTAGAGGGACCCTAGTCTCAGTCCACATGAAGGCCAAATCCATTGGGTTCCAACGTCAGCTGAAAATGGCAGGTGCCATGACTTGAACAGACCAGATGCACTCACCAGTGAGGACTGAAGGCAGGCAGACCAAGCCGTGCTGCTTCTCTCTGTCCTTTATATCGGGGCAGCACAGAGAAGGCGTTGCCTACTCAGGGGAGCGTCCTCTCCATTAGTTACTCTTTCTGGAAAATGTCCTCACAGACCTGCCCAGAGACATGTCTCTCAGTTTATTCTAGACCCAACCAAGCAGGCAACCAACATTAACCACACCAAGGGGGTAACGAACCCTTTCCATGCCTTTCCGCATTTCCTGCTTGTTTTGTTCTCCATCCTGGAGTCACTTTTTCTGCTTTTCCCAAACCTGCTTTCCTGGAGAGACTTAAAAGTCTTTCACCATCCTCATCTTGGCCATGTTCCTCCTGTGTCCATGACCTCCAGTCATACATGGATGGTGTTGTGCTGTTTTGATTTGTTTTTTAATATGTTAATCCACATTTAGCATATGTGAAAATATGATGCTTGGATCTGCCCAGATGTCATATCAGCTTATTTCTCACATGTGTATAACATGAAACTGAATGAAGTCTCTGCTTCCTCAAAAGAAAAAATTCCAGAGTTGCTGTCAGGTGACTCAATTGATTCTAAGACCAGGCTGGTTCTTGTCAACGCCTTATATTTCAAAGGAAAGTGGCAAAAAGAGTTTGACAAAGAACACACAAGGGAAATGCCCTTTAAAATAAACCAGGTAAGGAACAGTATCCAAAGGTTCATGACAGTGTGGTGGAGAGATTGAGTGCAAGGGTGTAATTGTGAATGTGTAGCTCTGGGGCTCAGTGGTAGAGATTGCATATCTTGTGTGGGGTGCTGGGCTTGATCCTCAGCCCAGAAAGAGAAAATGAGAAAGCACAGAAAACCATCTGAAACATATATTTCTGAATGAAAGGCTAAGCTCAGTAAAAAATGATAGGAGTAAACAGTATTTACTCCCTGTATTTTTTTTTTACATCCTGTTGGTGGCTCTTACAGCCTCTGATAATTTCTCATAAAAACCATCATTTCTATCTCATTCTAGAAATTAAAATTTCCATAACTTCAAGAATGCCAAAATTTAAGGGAGTACAATATATGTATGAAACATGATTTAGAGTAGAAAGGAATATACAAACATTTACTTGATAGAGTAATTTTAAGTAAAATAAGCATTTTAAATTATTAGTCAATTTATCATTAGTAAGTAGTATTAATAGCTTTCTAATATTGAAACAGAGAGAATAAGATCTCAGTCTTGATTAGAGTATATTTGAGTTAAAGTAGATATTAGAATAGTTTGCCCAATATCTACACAAATATAATTTAATGCAGTTTGAAGATATATGAATGTTACAATCCCCATTTCTTTTTTATTAGCAGTAGTATTTTTAAAACTTTGTAAAAGAAGTAGTTCTCTTAATTGGAAATTTAATCTTTATTATGGATTTTCTCTATCAAATTTTGATATTTAGTGTACCACTGTAATTAAAATCTTTCCATGTGTACCACTTCTGTATTTAAAATATATCATAGGTCTCTCACGACTGAAAGAACTTGAATAAAATACAGGAAGATACATAAGGTTCTTCCAGATGGCCACTAACTTTTAAAGGGTTGACAAGAACTGTATGATTATGATGGGTCATCAGACTGTAATGCATCACATTGATGCATGGAGATCAGTCTAGAAGGTCCCCAACCTGTAGTAATTTTACTGGGGTTTTCCTTCTCCCTAATGGGCTATTAGGATGGAGCTCTGCCCTAGCCTGTGAGTGTCTGTGCTCTGGAACTCTCTGCTCTGTGGTGGGTTAGAAGGTTGTGACCCATCCTGAATCTCTGAGCATGTGTGCTCCTGTTTCCA